CAGTTTTTAAGAGATTACTACTGTTATTATTATTGTTGTTGTTATTATTATTTACAACAATGCAATTGCTTTATTAGAAATCCCTATTCTTCAGAAATTCCAGTGGCGCAGCTGTGGCATGGCTGATGGCTGCTACAGTTTGTCGTGTTTACATGTTTGTCATGTTTCGATCGCAAGCCAGCTGGGATGGCAAATTCCTTATTTACTATTAGCTGAGAACAATGTCTTAGAGCTCACTGCGAACACACTGCTTTAGAGATACATTAAACATTAACTGTTGACATCATGCAAAACATGTGCAAGAAACAAGGTGTCATAGTGATAGGATTTCTTTCTGTTATGCAAAATACGTGACCATAGGGCTGTTTGTGTTACTGTGTGTAAACCTCAGGAGACTTCTCCACTGATTAATTTACCAAAGCCAGCCTGAAGTAATCTTAGACCTATGTCTTCTCTGTACCACAAACTAGCTCAGTATGTGCTATTATCAGCATATTGCCTCAGAATGTTGTACCACAAATAAGGACTGTAGACACTAAGTAGAATTAATGAGTTGTTGCCTAGTTAAAAATTAAACAGCAGTTACAAATGACCTGAACTATAGTGAAGGCAGGATCATAAATGTGCCACACTAACGAGTAAAGAAACATATCTGTAAACTGGGGTTTTAAAAAGTCTCCAGGTAGGCATTAAAGTATCTGTCAAAATTTTTCTGTTACATTTCTATATTAGCAATAAAACCAAGCAGAGCTAGACTTGCAAGTGAAACAGCTGTGAGTGCATTTCCCTGCTAAAATGCTTGTCTCAGAGTAAGTTAAAAATTCAGATGATTCTTAGATCTTACACTGCAGTAGCTGATCAGCCATTTCCACATAAAAGGAAAACCCTGCCCACTCTCTCCTTGGGCACCAAAGCTGTCAGCAGAGCTAATGCCTGAATCAACAAATCCAGCTGTGGATATCCCCAGACTCTGCCTGTGTCCATATTAGTGCTCTTTTAAGTTGAGGGCTTTTGAAAATGGATTCACAATGACAAAGAGCACAGTGGCAGAACAGCTTCAGTGCTGCTGGGGAGGCTCGTTTCAGCATGTGACCTGTGCTGTTGCTTTGTAGCCAAATTAAGCATGCTGTGCACAGGACTTGGATTTGGAGATAAATAATTAAAAGTAGCACTGTTCCTCACTTGATCCTGCAAGTCTCCGTCTCTGCTGCTAGATATCAAAGACAGCTGGGTAGCTATTGAGGCTGCAGAGAAATACTGAAAGCAAGCAAATACTTCCAGTAATATTTTATTGGTGCGGTAGGCACGGCGTAGTGTGCACACGGTTCACGTGAAGCCCGTGCACTGCGTCATACAGCTCCGTGAAGTCACGTATTTTGATGAATCAGAGCCATATGGCTTGACGCTTATCAGAGATCAATTCCCTTGTTGTGCAGCCATCTCCCTTTGCCATGAGGATTTCGTTGCTTTCAGAAAGGAAAAGGATAAAATGCACTATGGCTCCTCGGGAGCAGGGGTGGATGGCTTGAATTGAAGGCCTTGGGGCAGGTTCCCTCCAGAGGAGTCAGCTCTGGAGCTGATCATTCCCTTTGCTCCAGGGACTTCATCAGCTATTTGCCAGACATGAACGTTGCTTGTAGCGCAGAGAAATACTGGGTTGTCTCTTGTTTAAAGTTTGAAAAAAATGCCACTTCCCTGAGGGTTTTACTGCAATAATCAGGAAGGTACTTTCCTGACAGACCGTAACTATAAAACTCCCCCTTCTCTCCTGTATTTCTGAGAAGAACAGTGAGCTAATTACAGCTTATGCTACTGACATTGTCAAATGAATTATAAAACCTTCAGCATCTATCACTTTTTCCCAACAGGCTGACTTAAACTGCAACATTCAAGATGATACAGGAGCGTTTTACGGAGTCACTAGTCAGTACGAGAGCTCAGAAAACATGACAATCACCTGTTCCACCAAAGTCTGCTCATTTGGAAAGCAAGTAGTAGAAAAAGTAGAGGTGAGTGTTGTGATGGGATGTGTGGGATGATTCTCTGCTTCCTTTCATTTTAATTAGGCTTTTCTCTCTCGTCTT